ACACACACACTGATAGACACACACACACACACACCGATAACCTCCCCGCACACACACACACACACACACAGACACACAGACACACACACACACACACACACTGATAGACACACACACACACACACCGATAAAAGGAGCCTTGAGGAGAGTGCTGGGTTTCAGTTTCTGCCTCTGCGTTTCTCCTCATGCAGATGGGACTCTCCAAACTCCCCTCCCCTCTGATTTACCCCTCAGCCAATTACTTCCTTCCCCTTCCCCCAGCCACTTATTCCCTCCTTATCTCCCTTCTTTGCCTGCTCTGGTAGCTCCTTAGTTCTAGCAGGTAGCTCCTCTCAGCTGCTGCTTAGGAGATGCCCCTCTCTCCACTGGTCAGCTGAGCTCCCTGCCTGCGCAGGAGCTTTGAACCTCTGAGCAGGGCTCAGAAAATAGCTATACAGTTAACAGAAGACTTAAGAGTCAGCCTAAATTTCACCATAGCCCATGGTTGCTAAGTAATTGGACTTGGTTGATAGACACAGTGCCAGATATTTTAGACATAAAATGTTGCATATGAATATAAATGTTTATGAAGTTTTTTTAAACTTGATTTTAAGGAGTTTTGGGACAGTAGCTCTGCAGAAAACATCTAAATCCCAAACACTGCATATAATAGAGCAGTGTTTCCCAATTGGTGAAGCTAAAGTAAGGGTTCCACGAGAACTCAGCACTCAGCCTCGCCCCCCCTCCCCCCTTAAAGAGACAGAGCTTTTTTCTACTCAACAAATTGCGGTGGGACTTGGCAGGTCCTCTCTCCCTCCCCCAATAATTTTTACCCTGGCAACCCTAGAGGTTCCTTGAAATTCTTTCAAGCTGAAATGGTTCCGTGGCCAAATAAAATTGGGATACACTGTAATAGAGGGATATACAATTACGTTTGGTTTCTTTAGGGGGTGGTTTTAGATCATCTGAGAATTAGATATTGTCTATTGTGTGTTTTGTAAGGGTAAGCAGAGCATGGAAATGAATGCCTGTCACTGTTTATAAAGAGTGCAAATGACAACCCCTGGAGTGGGAAGGAGGATATAATGGGTTTAGAAAGAGGGAAATTGAAGCTTGCAGCACATACTCTTGGGCCTTGTCTGCAGCTGCAGACTTGATCATAGTTATAATTGATTTTAAGCATATAGTTCCAACAATGGTAGCAACCAGAGAGGCAGTCTAAACAGGACTCAGGTGTTCATGCCATGTTGTCCAATGCTGCTTAGAATAAAGCTAGGTGGCACAATAGTAATACAACTGCAGTGTCTGCACTACAGCTTCAAATATCTCTACTGTTGGTAGAGAGGCCCTTGTGGAGATTTAGGCTAAAAAGAATGTTTGCTTCAGTAGAAGATGGTGCATGCAGTAGGGATGTCAACATGTAGATGAATACATGATTAACTGATAAGCTCAGGTTTATTGGTTAATCTAGTTGACTACACACACTTTCTTCCCCCTCCTCCCTCCCCGCTGTCTCTGTATCAGAGGCAGAAACAGGTATTGGGGTGATGCGGGAGCCAGTGCCCATGAGGAGCTGGCTTCCCACGAGCACCGGATCCACTCTCCCTCCCCACCGCGTTGCTGCCTCTATTAGAGGCAGTAAGCAGAGAGGTTGAGGGAGGCAGGCAGGAGACAAAACATGTGGAGAGCTGGCTTTCAAGCAGGTTCCCCGCACATGCTGGCTCCGTGGACCCACCTGTCCCTTCCCTCGCTGCCTCCTACAGAGGTGTGGGAGACAGAAGTCAGTACATAGGGAGCCAATTTGAAAGCCGGGGAGGCTGCCTTTGTCCCCAGCTTCTTGCCGCTTACAGAGGCTGCTCCAGCATCCCACAGAGAAGCCTCTGTCTGCAGGGAGCTCGGACTCATGGACAGGCCTGCCACTTCCATTTTAGAGTTAGCAGCATGGAGCGGGAGCCAGTCTGCGCAGGAAGCCAGTTTTTAAACTGGTTCCCCTCATGGATTGGCTCCTGCCTACCACCCCATGCTGCTGCCTTTGATAGCCCACTAAATTTTCATGCGGTTACATGACTATTTAGTTGCGTGCTATCTAACATACCTAATATGCAGTTTGCTCTGCTGCTTTGTCACTACCACAAGGTATCTGGTTTTTAAAAACACCGTCTTTCTTCTAACTAGTCATCTGGAGTTTGACCTTCTGCACAAAACCAAACCCAGTGGTCACTGCTACCTTGTGGTAAGTCACAGTTCAATAAGAGTCCCCTAATATGTCTGATGTAGATTGTTAGGGTCTCTGGTTAATTTTTGTATTTGTGTGTATTTGGCTTCAGTACGTGCCATATTCAGACACCAGATATACTGGTTGATTGCTTGTACTTAAATTGTCTTTTGGAATTCAATATTTTTGAGATTATATCTTTAGAAGGCATCAAGGCAGCAAAATGGCTTGGGGGGACTTTTTTATAGAAATATTGTGTAATATAAATCTGAAATGCTTCCTTACCACTTATAGGGAAGATGGAAACTGCATTTGAAATTTCTAACTACTTCTTTGTATTTTGAAAATTATCAGTTTTCTTGGTTTCTAGTCATCTATGTTCTGTTGCCTTTTTATTAGCGTAGTCACTAGCCATTGTTTTCAGCTTTCCTACACTAAAAACCTGCCAACATTCAGAATTTTTCAACTAG